TGAAGTTTGTTATCTTTAGCACATTATTGCGCGACAGCAGCAGATGCTTCAACTGCAGATTTCTGACCGTTATGGAACGCTTGTGTAAGTACTCTATACCAGACATCAACTGCTTGAAATATTGTATTGCCATATCAACGGGCAATCCCTTGATTACTGCCCATTCAAGCGTGCCACCACTCAAAAACTCATAATGGAAATGGTGCATAGCTCGGAACATCTTATGGCCTAGGAACGTCACAATGTTTTCGTGATTCATTGTCTTCAATAGCTGACTTTCCCATAATGAAGCGCGCACGTACTCCGTCTTGTAACTAACAATTTTGATAACTTGTTCGCTCGACCTATTGATACCTTTGATGATTTCCCATTTCGCTTTTTCAGACTTATGGAAAATTTCGTAGCGCCACCAGCGCAATCGCCGCTTCTTATGCGCCTTCAATCCAGTCGATCCTTTTTCAAGGGAATTGTTCAATGCAAGTGCGTTGCGCTTTGCTGAAATAGCGTAGATGAGTTTTCAGCCCTTGTACAGTAACTATTTTTATGAAACACAGCAGCATCGCTAAAAGTTTTATGTTTCTACACTGAAAAAACTAAACTCGCTCAGGTGCTGAATGTTTGCAAGCTTTCACGTTGAGAATTATTTTGAAGACAGTTTAAACCGACGTAACGCTCTTAGCTTTGGCGCGTGGAGAGCCTTTACTGTGTGCTGAAGAACAAACGATTATATAAGCATGATAACATTGCACTTATGAATGAAGCTGGATCAGATGAAATGTTTACCCCTTTTATGCTTCTTTTTGTATTCTTCAATCAACTGTGTAATCATCTCCAAGCTGACGGTGATCTTCTCCTGATCGCATTTAACCAGCCGAACTTCTTCGCATCCTCCCACTTTAAACAACACTAATGATTTGCAGGTGTTCGAGTTGTGATAATTAGGGAGTATTTTCATAAGTTTACCGTCAACACAACAGTGACAACGTTTTTTTATCCCATTTTAGACTCAGCTTTTCTAAACGCAAGATTTTCAGAACCTTTCACTCGCTTCGTCTTCTTTTGGTCAATACCACGCATATTTGTTATTGTCAGCGTAAAATAGAGTGACAATGTCAGGAGTACTACTTTCTTCAATGCAGACAATCATGACAACGTGCTCAGTAATAATGATCACTTTTAACTGAAATGTAAAGAATAAAAATACCTGTCGATCTGTTTGCTCCCTGGACAACAACGTGATCTTCTCCCGGAGGTAAATAAGCTAAAGGAACGGATTATTTGGGTACAGGACATTTCGCCGCCGCCATTTGACCTCCGAGACATTTGGCCGTCGGGACATTTGACGTCCGAGCATTTGACCGCCGCCCATTTTACCGACGGCCTTTTTCTCACCAGCACACAGGAAATTCCAGCACCCCCTTGAGAAACTGCGGTAAACAACCCTCACCGTTTAATGGTAACAAACAGCAGATAAAACGATAGAAAAGACTGGAAACTGTAGGAGGAGAATAAGCAGGCGACCGCGCAGCGAACGGGCAACGTTCGTCCTTCCAATCAAAACCGGTGGCAATCGATGCGTCCCTGAAAATTGGCGCAGGATTCCCATCACCATGACGGGGAGCGGCTGACGTTGCCGCAGATCAAGTTGACGCA